TTATGGAATTCCAGTTGAGCTATTTCAAATCCTGAAAGATGATGCTGTGAAAGTGCTGCACTCAATATATCAGCAAATTTGGAAAACTCAGCAGTGGCCACAGGACTGGAAAAGGTCAGTTTTCCTTTCAATCCCAAAGAAAGACAATGCCAAAGAATGCTCAAACTACCCCACAATTGCACTCATCTCACACACTAGTAAAGTAATGCTCAAAATTCTGCAAGCCAGGCTTCAGCAATATGTGAACCGTGAACTTCCAGATGTTCAAGCTGATTTTAGAAAAGGCAGAGGAACCAGAAATCAAATTGCCAACACCCGTTGGGTCATCAAAAAAGCAAGAGAGTTCCAGAAAAACTTCTATTTCTGCTTTATGACTATAAGAAAGCCTTTGACTGTGTGGATCACAATAAACTGTGGAAAATTCTGAAAGAGATGGGAATACCAGACCACCTGACCTGCCTCTTGAGAAATCTGTATGCAGGTCAGGAAGCAACAATTAGAACTGGACATGGAACAACAGACTGGTTCCAAATAGGAAAAGGAGTACGTCAAGGCTGTATATTGTCACCCTGCTTATTTAACTTATATGCAGAGTACATCATGAGAAATGCTGGGCTGGATGAAGCACAAGCTGGAATCAAGATTGTCGGGAGAAATATCAATAACCTCAGATGTGCAGATGACACCACCCTTATGGCAGAAAGTGAAGAGGAACTAAAGAACTTATTGATGAAAGTGAAAGAGGCGAGTGAAAATGTTGGCTTAAAGCTCAACATTCAGAAAACTGAGATCATGGCATCCAGTCCCACCACTTCATGGCAAATAGATGGGGAAACAGTGGAAACCGTGGCTGACTTTATTTTTTGGGGCTCCAAAATCACTGCAGATGGTGATTGCACCCATGAAATTAAAAGATGCTTACTCCTTGGAAGGAAAGTTATGACCAAACTAGACAGCATATTAAAAAGCAGAGACATTACTTTGTCAACAAAGGTCCATATAGTCAAGGCTATTATTTTTCCAGTAGTCATGTATGGATGTGAGAGTTGGACTATAAAGAAAGCTGAGCACCGAAGACTTGATGCTTTTGTACTGTGATGTTGGAGAAGACTCTTGAAAGTCCCTTGGACCGCAAGGAGATCCAATCAGTTCATCCTAAAGGAGATCAGTCCAGGGTGTTCAATGGAAGGACTGATGTTGAAGCTGAAACTCCAATACTTTGGCCACTTTATGGGAAGAACTGACTCATTGGAAAAAAACCCTGATGCTGGGAAAGATTGAGGTCAGGAGAAGGGGACAACTGAGGATGAGATGGTTGGATGACATCACCGACTCAGTGGACATGGGTTTGGGTGGACTCCAGGAGTTGGTGATGGATAGGGAGGCCTGGCATGCTGCAGTTCGTGGGGTCCCAAAGAGTTGGACACGACTGAGTGACTGAACTGAACTGAAATTGCCTATACTCATTTATATTGGTTTCTGTCCCTCCTCCCAGGCTTCTGGTGTGTGCAGAGCTGAAGTCTGAATGAGGCTTAATTCCAGGGCTCAGACTCTTAACCCAGCACACACAATTTTGCAAAGGGCCCAGAGAGCTTAGAATGCTGTGCTAGAAGTGCCCTTTGAGAATGTCTAGCTTAGAGCATTATACTTGTGGACCTGATTCTGTCACTTTCTGGGCAAAATGACTCTCCCAACAGAGAGTGAAAGGCTGAGTCGGGATGGGAGGAGTGGGTGAAGGGGGAGGGGATGACTCTAACTCCTAGGATCCCAAGAGAGGACTTTCATGTTCAAAGCTCTGGAACTGAATGGATATAATACAAATCTTTAACCTACATAAATGTATTACACTTCATCAACAAAATATTCGTTGAATAATTAAGTGAGGTTGGAATCACATTTTAGCTCTAACCACCATATAACTAGCTATGTGGCCATAGTATTTAGAGGAACTAAAGAGCCTCCTGATGAGAGTGAAGGAGGAGAGTGAAAGAGCTGGCTTATGACTAAATATTAAAAAAACTAAGATCATGGCATCTGGCCCCATTCCTGCATGGCAGATAGAGGGGGAAACGGCAGAAGTAGTGAGAGATTTCCTCTTCTCGGGCTTCAAAATCACTGTGGACAGTGACCGCAGTCATGAAATCAGAGGACGATTGCTTCTTGGCAGGAAAGCAACGACAAACCTAGACAGTGTGTTGAAAAGCAGAGGCATTACTTTGCTGACAAAGGTCTGTATAGTCAAGGCGGTCAGGTACAGTTGTGAGAGCTGGACTGTAAACAAGGCAGAATGCCAAAGAATTGATGCCTTCAAACTGTGGTGCTGGAGAAGACTTCTGAAAGTCCCTCGGAGAGCAAGGAGATCAAAGCAGTCAGTCTTGAGGGAGATCAACCCTGAATATTCACTGGAAAGACTGATGTTGAAACTGAAACTCCAGTATTTTGGTCACCTGATGCGCACAGCCAACTCATTGGAAAAGTCCCTGATGCTAGGAAAGATTGAGTGCAGAAGGAGAAGAGGGTGTCAGAGGATGGGATGGCTGGATGGCATCACTGATGCAATGAACATGAACTTGGGAAAACTCCAGGACATGGTGAGGAAGCAGGGAAGCCTAGCATGCTGCAGTCCATGGCGTTGCAGAGTTGGACACAACTGAGCAACTGAACAACAATTTATTACTTCAGCAAGAAAATTTTCATTGAATAATTAAGTGAGGTTGGAATCACATTTTAGCTTTACCATATAACTAGCTTTGTAGCCATAGCATTCCTCCACCCCCGCCCCCACCGCCCCCAACATTTGCTGAGCCTTAACTGCGCATTTTTAAAGACATACATTTCGGGCAAAAGGACAGCAGAAGTGAAGGTGTGATGTGTTCATGGAACAGAGAGGGGAGATCCGGATGTAAGAACTGTCTTGGTTCACTCTGGAGAGTCCGTAAGAGTGAAATGCTGTTTTTTCAATATGAAAAATTATTCATTACTTTAAAATAACACACCAAGACAAAAATCTATAGTTTTGTACCTCCACAGGCAGTGAAAGCGTGAACATCTGAGCAGTGTGAAACGAAAACAGTTTCTGAGAGAGCATTTTGCTGAAATTGAGAGTGACGTGTGTGTATCAGTCATACACAGCAAGCAAGAGACAGGAAGATGGAGGACACACAGCCCCACAGTGTCCCCAAAAGGAGAGAAGGCCTCTCTTGGAAAATGATGGGAGCATGCAAAGTCCATGCAATCAGCCGTGTCAATTGTGAAACATAAGTCCTCATGCTACGTGTTTGGAGGCTGCAGCCACAAAGATCAAGAGAGAAGATTAAAAACCTACACTTTCACGTCTGAGTCATCTGTGCCCCTCACCCCCACAATTCCCTCCTCCAACATTTTCATCTGTCTTTTGTTGAAGGATTCACTCTCACTGAAAAATAAGGATGGGTGAGGCAGAATTTTCACCTGAGCAAATCAGATGTGGTTTGGCTCCATGGCAGGACTCCATGTTTTACTGGTTTGCTTATTTAAAAGTAACTGGGGGAAGCTGAACTATTTCAAACGGGTGTGAAAAGTTGAAGAGAGAAGGTTTTGGAGCAATGAATGAGATGAAAGAGAAATCTGTGCCAGGCAAACTGAAAGCCAAGCAAAGAGCAGTTAATCATTCCAGCTGGAGATGGACAAGAGAAGTCCAGTGTCTCTTTAGAGATGAAGAAGAGCCCCACTTGTCAGGGCAAAAGCATCTCTGACATCTAAGTGCCTGAGCGGGGTACTAAGCCTGCTATTTCTGCTCTGTCAAAGTCATTCTATTAAAAGTTAAAATAAGCCTGCAACTAGAGAATCTTACCCCTTATAGAAGCCTTATGTAATGTATGCAAATGTGCATCTAAATTATTAGCCTTCTATTTTTTTCCCCTTCAAAGCTGCACTTAATAAGTAAAAGCCTGTGAAAGCCTAGAGATTTCTAAAATAAAGTGTATCTAAGAACATCTTTAAGGAAAACTCTTGAGAGCTAGCAAGAGATCTAGGAGAAAAGGCCCTGTATGAAGAGAGGGGATTGCTGGGTCCTGGCACTGGTTTAGCCCCTTACTATGCACTGGCTTTTGCAAACCACTTAAATTCCCAGGACCAAAAGAGGCTACGTCTGAGTGGGAAGAACTAGAAACAAGGATCCGCAAGTCTGGGTTTGAGTCCTCACCTTGTCATGTATGGGCTATGGAGCTGACAAAGAATGTAACATTTGGAAACTTGTTTCCTAATCTATCAAATAGAGGAAGTAATAGAACCCAATGGCTGAGTGGGTAAATAAGCCGCCTGCAATGCAGGAGATACAGGAGACGCTGGTTTCATACCTAGGTGGGGAAGATCCCCTGGAGGAGGACAATGGCAATCCACTCAGTATTCTTGCCTAAAAAAATCACTTGGACGGAGGAGCCTGATGGGCTAACAATCCAAAGGGTCGCAAAGAGTCAGACACAATTGAGCACGCACACAGGCACAACAGTACCTCATTCATGGGATTGCCGAGATGGACAAACAGTGTACATAAAAGGGGCTTTGCAAACTCTAAAGGGCAAGAGGCAAGTGAGCCTTCATCTCCCTTGGTTATCTGTGCCTCACAGAATACTAGGAGAAAAAATGAAAACTAGAAAGGGTTTATTATAGAAAGTCCAAAGCACTACTTCACAATCATTATAGCGAGTAAGGACATACTTCAAATCTGTTGATAAATGGAAGCGTAAACCAGTCAGAAAGCCAGCCGCAACTGGGAGATGTTTAAAACACCTTCCACTTACACTCAAAGGAAAACGGTGTTCTAGAGGGTGCTGGGGGTTGGGTGGCTTGGAGGAGACAGCGCCACACAAAAGAGGTGGTGAGATGGCGGGGCATGGGGAAGCACGCTATCGTCTAAGAGGCCTAAGGGAGCTGGAACGATCGCACAAAAAGGAGGTCTTCTAATTCCGTTTGAGCTGTAATCTGATTTCACGCTGGGTACACCGTCCCCTCCAAGTCAGCGCTGACGGCGGTGCGGCAGAAGTTTTCCACCCAGCAACAGGGTGACGTCAGCGGCCAGGAGGCCCGCCAATCAGGAGGCGGCATGAATCAGAGCGCGCTGGGGTTCTGCTCAACGGTCTCCTAGCAAAGCACCCTCAGGTCTGCAGCGCCGAGGCTGTTTGCACTTCCTGTGCACTTGAAGCTGAGACGGAACGGCTCCTCGGCTGAAAGGGTACCAATGGGTGTGCAGGCCCTGACGATTATTCGCGTGCAAACGGCCAGTCCACTGGGTCATATAAGAGTCACAGCTATGCTTTCCTGCGAGTCTTTTCGGCAATTAGAAATTCAGAATTAATATTTTAAAGACTTGATTTCTATGGCATACCTTATAATTGTTTGAAACCTGCTTCATTTCATACATTATGTGCTGTGGGGTGGCTCTTGGCCCGTGAGCTGTATATACAGGTAAATACTGTACCTTACAGAGCTTGAGCTCGCTTCTTAGGTTTCAAGTCTCCTCTCCAGTGACAAGTAGTCTGGAAGTCAACAGCTGTTTCATTTCTGGGTCAAAAGCTCCAGTTCTCTAATTGCACTAAAATGTGTTTTGTGTATGCTTTTAAAATAAGCATAAGTGGGAAGGTGATGAGGTGACTGGCAGAAATGGGCTCACCCTGGGGAGGGTAGAGCTTTGTGGTACTGCTGAGAACATGTGGTTATCTCCTGGCATTTTGTTAGTTTTTCTGACCTTAGTAGGCAGTGACAGCAGTCCTGGAAAAGGGCTCAGAAGGTTAAACCTTCCCACCCAGCATCGCAGTCTCTTTCTTACACTTCCCAGGCTGGCTCCTCACCTACCCAGCATGCCCTTTGCAAGGACAGTCTACACTAACTCTGTCCTAAAGCCAGAGGACTCTCTCCTGTGAGTGGAGGAAACATCTTCCCTAAAGCAAAATATATGTAACCCAGAAGGAGTGATTTTCCACCTTGTCTCCTTTCAGAGTCATCGGTCCCAGGAAGGAGCATGGACTAGGATTTATAAGCCCAGACCTGGTGCAACCTCTTTCCTTCCACAGCTTGCTTCTTGGATGAATGCCTCTTCTTTTTTCCCTCATTACTGAAATGAAGACAGAGTTTACAAAAGCTAGCTAATTAGGGCTAATTAGGGGCAAGCCATTCTGAAATATTGAGAAGACTGACTTGGGAAATATATTTTAGAGAAAGGCAGACCTAACATGTCCAAAGGGCGGTGCCGCTGGAGGAAGGCACATGGGTTCTGGGGATCAGGCTCATGCAAGGTTGAATCCCAGTTCCAGGACTTACCAGCTCTGCCCTCGAGGGCCAAAGCTCCCTTCCACAGGTGCAGACAGGGGCAAGGCGTAGCTCCAAGGATGGCAGTGAAGAGAAACAATCTCGCACTGAGCACAAGCAGGCATGTTGTAGCTACTCAATAATTCATAGACCCAGTGCCCCCTTTACACTGGAAATAAACAACTTGTTGGCAAATAGAAATCCCAGAGGGACTTGCTTTCACAAATACCGGAGGGTTTGTAATTAGCATGAAAAAGGATTGTTTCCAAGCCTTGAAAGCAGGTCGTTCTTTACAGACTCAGGCTTACTTGGGAAGCCTTGTTTACACTCTAGCATTAATTTGCTCTGCAAATCCTTATGGCTAGGGTGAAATTAAATTTCAGTTCAGGCTCTGTTTGAATGACCCCAAACTCCAAATGAAGGTGGCTTTAGTGTGATCTAAGTTTCACTTTTCGGAATCCTTGAGATGAATTTAGAGGGCTTTCTAATACTTCTAGAAAGGCCTGACACTCTTGGCAAGAAAGATAAAACTGTCAAGTATCTGACCCCATCCTGTTCATCCCCTTCTTCATCTGGTATCCCCGAAGGGTACATGCTCCTGGTGCCCAAAGGAGTTTAGAAAAGATTTCTGCTGACTGGAACAGACTGGGAATCGGAGGGGGGGGGGGGGGCGGGGGCGGTGTGGTGTGAAAACCCCAGGGCAGGTTAGAGGTCAGAGCAGCTGTGATGCCTGGAGGAGAAGGCAGGAGGAAGTCGGGGTGGGGGATGTATTTCCTGGGCGAGACTAAATCAGCTATTTTAGACTCTTTGGTTCCTCTTTAGTCAGCAGTCAAGAAGACTACAGAAATGGTAACATTCTATTATTTCCACAGGGCCTTTCTCTTGAAAAATGCATTTGCTGTCTAAGATAAAATGGTGTAGATTTTCTGTTCCCTTGAGGATTATTGCACCAGAGAGAAGGTAATGAGAAGACACCTTCCCACTTTACAGAGAAGGAAACTGATAGCTCGTGGGTGAAGCTCAGAGATTTGGGAAAGATCAGTCCATCTCTGAACAGTAGAGTGGAGATACTGAATCGGGAAATAGTGAAACAGAAATGTGAGCTCTCCTGACCTTTCTCTGCTATTACAGTCATTTCAAATCCAAGCAGAGAAGTTAGAAATGGATAAATTTGCAGCTATGCTTTAACCAAGAGTCCGGACTTGGCTGTTTTTGATTGACTGAACCTCTCTACACATGCACACAGGGAAAGCAAATCTTTCCCTGTATTTAGGTGCAGGGAAGCCAGTTTATTCCGAGTGCCAGTTTGTGTCAGAACAATTTGCTATGGGGTTACAGGTTGAATCCTGTCTTCCCGCTCCAAATATGTTGAAAATATGTTGAAATCCTAACCCCCAGTACTTCAGAATGCAATATTATTTGGGAATAGGTTAATTACAGATGTAACTTGATTCCCAGGTGGCTCAGTGGTAAAGAATCCTCCTGCCAATGCAGGAGATACAAGAGACATGGGTTCTATCCCTGGGTTGGGAAGATCCCCTGGAGAAGGAAATGGCAACCCACTCCAGTATTCTTGCCTGGAGAATCCCATGGACAGAGGAGCCTGGCAGGCTATAATCCATAGGGTCACAAAAGAATCAGACACGACTTAGCGACTAACAGCAATAGATGTAATTAGTTAAATTAAGTGATGTCATCCTGGATCAAAGCTACTCCTTTATCAAATATATGTGGTGTCCTTATAAGACAACAACAGTGTAAAGACAGACATGTACAGGGAAAATGCAATTCGAAGACAGAAAATTGGAGTGCTTCATCCACAAGCCAAGAAACACTAAAGATTGCCAGGAAATCGCATTCTTCCACAAGTTTTGGAGGGAGTACAGCTCTGCTGACACCTTGATTTCAGTCACACTCTAGCTTCCAGAAATGTGAGGTGATAAATTTGTTGTTTTAAGGCACCTAGCTTGAGGTACATTGTTGCAGCAGCCCCAAGAAACTAAGGTGTATGGCATTAACCAAAATTACTGATGTCACTTTAGACTGGATAAAACTGGCAGCTGCATGCTTGGGCAAGTTGTCAACCTTTCTGGAAGAAGGTTTTCTAATCCATGAAATAGAAATGGAGTAGATGATTCAAAGGGCTTCCCTGCTGCCTCAGTAGTAAATAATCCACCTGCCAATGCAAGAGTCATGGGTTCGATGTCTGGTTCAGGAAGATCTCCTGGAGAAGGAAATGGCAACCTACTCCAGTATTCTTGCCTGGGAAATCCCATGGACAGAGGAGCCTATAGCCCATGAACAGTGGGCTGTCACTCATGGGGTTGCAAAGAGTCAGATATGACGTAGTGGCTAAGCATGCACGCATGTGGTTTAAAGGAACTCTAATGTCCTTTGAGACTTAGCTAGTATCCCCCACAGATGATAGCTTTTCTTTTCCTAATCTAGTTCTTGAGTCCTTCCCCATCTCTCTCTACACGTGCCCATGTCTGAGGTCAGGCCGTCACTGCTTGCTTGGAAAATTGGAAAACTATTGTCCCCTGCAGCCTATACATTAATACAAGTGGCTGAGGGTTCTTTGTAGACACAGATCCAATAACATCATTCCTCTATACACACTTTCTACAGCCTGACTGCCTAGATAATACTGTTGAAAGTCCTTAGGTTGGCATGAGACTTTTCACATCCAGACCAAACCTCTCCCATCAACTCCCACCGAGTTCCACACACCCCACATTTCATATATTCTAACCAGCCTACAGTACTAAACAAGCCATAGACTTCCCTTTCCTAAAATCCTGCACCCATCTGCTCCCCAGAGACTTTCCACCTACCCTTTGATTCTCCACAAGACTGTGAGCAATTTAAAGGCAGGAACTGTGTCTTATTCACCATTTCTCTCCATTACCTTGTACTTTGCTTGGCATAGAGTAAGAGCTTAATAAGTATGAATTGAAGAAAGGAATCTGCCATTCCTCAAGACCCATTTCAATGTTTTTTTTTTCTGTATAACTATCTAAATTAGAAGTTACCCACCCCCCCCCAGCTCCTGTGGTGCTCTGTCAAGATTTTATAATATCATTTCTCCCATCTGTGAATCTGCTTTGCACATGACACTAAACAAATGATTGTGGAGTAGATGGACAGATACGTAGTGGACACCTTATTACCATATATGTGTGTGTGAATTTCCCTTGCTTAGTGTGAAACTCTGACTCATTTACAGTAAGTAGAAAAGGTTAACCCTAATTTGATTGATTTTCCTTCTTTCATCAGATTGTGATCATGGCAGTTTAGTTCAGTTGGTCAAGACGTGTGCTTGTGCCCTTGCTTGGGGGTCAGACACAGCTAACTCTGACACCCTAGGCAATACTGGGAAACTGCAGGGCTGGGCCTGTCCTGGTCACTAGAGTCCCAGAGTGAAGGAGGGCAGAGGGGTTGGCACAAATTCACAGTGAGGGTCAGCAGCCTAGCCTGAGGGTGATGGCCAGGAACTGGGGCGAAACTAGAAATGAGCTCCACGCAAGGTGGGTCTCTCCTTTGGGAAGCTCTCCTTTCTCCTTCTCTATGGCTGAGTTTGGCCAAACAAGACCCTGAGTGAGTGTGGGAACGACACACTCCCTCCTCTCCAGGCAGGTCTTCAGAGCAAATAGGCCCCTTGCAGAGCATCAGGTGCTGGGCCGAGTTTCAGGAGATTCATCTTTTGAATTATAATACCTATAGTGATAACGACCATGTACTGGACATTTACTGTGTACCAAGAACTCTCTCTCTCTCTCTGTCTTTATTTATAGATACAAAATACAAAATAAACATAAAAAATATATAAATACATACTAT